GCATTAGGACATCATCCTTGGCTAAGGTCTGCAGGGATGTCAGCTGATACTAAAACTTCTATGGAGGATTTAGCCTTTATGGTGAAGACATCTTCAGTGCCCACACTCATGAGGTGATGAAACAAATGTTTAGAATTATGAAAGGTGAGCATGGGTTCTCAACAATAGCAGCAGTCTAAACAATATACTGTAAATTGAATTGTCACAAAGCACCGAATTTCAATAGAACTAAGTCTCTGCAAACAGTCTCAGTCTTCTAAACATTGATCTTCACAGTGTCATGAACAGCAATGTAAATATTGGATTTCTCATGCTTGTCTAAAACAACATTGTGCAGCACACTTGATTCCAACAGATACAAAGAGCTGGTTCCTTTAAAGGATGTTTCTATATTAATTATTATTTTCCACTTTCAGGGTATTTTTTAGCACCATATCTCAATCTCAATCACTGAAACATCATCACTCGTCATAGTCTATAGGTATGCCATAAAATTCACACCCCAGGCCCCACTGGGGAGGTTTAAAGCAACTACACCTTTGAAAATTCTTAAGAAGATCTCTATATTGCTTCAAAAGGATGGCAAAAGGTTAATTCATCCTTGACAAGAATAATGCTTCTGATATTTCACAGTTCCCACAAAAGATCGAGATCAGACCTATCTCAGACTTTAGAGGTGTCACCTCTGAAGATTAATACTAAGAAATTTCAAAAAGAAGTATTATCAGAGATTTTTCCTCTGCAGGAAATAAGTGGTTTCCAGTAATAGACCTAAAGGCATGCACTTTCATATTTCTATTCATTCATGCCATTATCACCTTCTGTGTTTTGCACAAAGTTGGAAGATTTGTAATTTCCTTTTGGTCTGTCTGTAGCAACATGAATTTTCACCAGATTCATGGCATTAGTGGCAGCTTATTTACGGCTTTGACTGTAACACAGGTGAGCACACATGGAGAAATGATTCAAAATAAATTGCATTCATAATCGAGTTAAAATAAACAATCCCTTTGTGACTGTTTAAAAAACTCTTTCCAAACAGAAAAACCACATGCTTCCTGGCCAAAACCATGCACACTCAGCTGCATGTTATGTAAATGGATATTTTTAGATCGATTTCAAACTTGCTGAACCTGATGCAAACCCAAGAGTATTTCGACATGTAACTGCACTTTACCCAAATGATGGCTGTCCATTCAGACCGTGCAGCAATCTATTAGATAATTCGTTAGAGACCCTCCTCTGTCTTCTTGAGTACCTTATTGGTCACTGATTGTCCCTCTCCTGTGCTTATGAATAATTTCCTGTACAAACAAACAGAACATCAACACTACACTGCTGGTGAAATTTAAAAAAACAACAACAACAAAGCTAAATAATAATGTTTTGGGGCTAGAAAAATGCCATAAAATGTGCTTGTGAATTTTTGTAGGGAGGATCTTATAAGTTCCATAAAGACAAGCCTGAGGAGACTTTCTATAGAGGAAGCTAACAGCCAGTACTATCCCCTGAATTAGTTCTAAATTAAGGAGGCAGGCAGAAGGTGACTGGATGAGGGCATAGTGGAGCCAGTTTCCATTTTCCCTGATAGACTATTTTCCTTTGAAAGCATTTTCTGTAGAGTAATAACTGAAAGTCACATAGTCTTGCTAGCCTAGAAATTACATTTACATGTGTGAGAAAAGCGTGACCTATGTTGTTGTGTTGTGCTTCTTTCAAGAAAGACAGTATTGTTTCACAGAGTGTATCAATTTGGCATTCTGTGCCACAAGACATGGTCGTGTATTTTAGTTTATGTAGCTTTAAAATGGTTAAACTACCTGTTGGAGAAGTGTCTATTTACTAAAGTAACGAAGTAGAATTTCCACATGGAAGCATTATTTTCCTGAAGATAAGTACAGTAGTAAGAAAACATTCATCTTCCAAATGTTCTGGACTACAGTGCTTATAGACCTTTACCATTGCCTATGCCAACAGGGGTTAATGAGAGTTACTTCTTATTTTTTTTAAAAAATTTCCTCTGACAATGAACTAGGAGCAATTGTGCACTTTAAGGAGCCTTCCAGCAGTGATGTGCCTGGTTTTCTGCTAATGGAAGCAGAATGTTACACTTTTTTTGTTGTTGTTTAGTCATTAAGTCATGTCCGACTCTTTGTGACCCCATGGACCAGAGCATGCCAGGCCCGCCTATCTTCCACTGTGTCCCAGAGTTGGGTCAAATTCATTTTGGTAATTTGATGACACTGTCCAGCCATCTCATCCTGTCGTCCCCTTCTCCTCTGGCCTTTACACTTCCCAAACGTCAAGGTCTTTTCCATGGAGTCTTCTCTTCTCATGCGATGGCCAAAGTATTGGAGCCTCAGCTTCAAAATCTGTCCTTCCAGTGAGCACTCAGGGTTGATTTCCTTCAAAATGGATAGGTTAGATTTCCTTACAGTCTAGGGGACTCTCAAGAGGCTCCTCCAGCCCCACAATTCTAAAGCATCCATTCTTTGGCGATCAGCCTTCTTTATGGTCCAGCTCTCCCTTCCATACATTGCTACTGGAAAAACCATAGTTTTAACTATGTGGACCTTTGTCGTCAAGGTGATGTCTCTGATTTTTAAGATGCTGTTTAGGATTGTCATTCCTTTCCTCCCAATAAGAAGGTGTCTTTTAATTTCAGAGCTGCTGTCCCCATCTTTTATTCTTTCTTTACTTACTACTTACTCTATTTTGTATTGTATTTGTCACTGATTGTCTCATGTAATACTTCTGTGTTATTTTATTGTGTATATATGTTATACTGGAAGCCACTCAGAGTGGTCGTATAGACCAAATGGGCGGGATATAAATCAAATAAATAAATAAATAAATAGATAGATGGATGGATGGATGGATGGATGGATGGATGGATGGATGGATGGATGGATGGATGGATGGATGGATGGATGGATGGATGGATGGATGGATGGATGGATGGATGGATGG